TCTTCATCCACACAAACACACCAAAAACAACCCAAGGATGCTGTATTAACTGTGCCAGGACTGTTTGTGGCATAGCAGCTACAAAACACATCAAACCAGGAAAATAAAAACTTGTGGGGAATGTGCTCAAGGCTTGTTGAGAAATAAAAACACAAGAAGAGAGATCCTCACACAAGAGACGTCTTCAGACTGTAGTGTGTCCATCACTTCATAGTTTTCAAAAGGTTGTGTTTCAGCTGTCTACACAAAAATGCTAATTTTGTTTCTCAAATTGTTTTCACTCAAACACATTAAAAATAATTAAATAAGAACAAAAATTAACTTTGGAAGCTCCTAAAAACAAACAGCGCAGTGGCTCAAATGGTAGAGCTGCTGCCTCTCAGCAAGAAGGTTGTCGGTTCAAATCCCGGCCCAGGACCTTACTGGGTGGAGTTTGCATGTTCTCTCCGTGCATGCGTGGATTTTCTCTGGTACTCGGGGTTTCCTCTCACAGACCAAAAACATGCATGTTAGGCTGATTGATAACTCTAGATTGTCTCTATGAGTGAGATAGTGAATGGTTGTTTGTCTCTATGTGTCCCTGGGATGGACTGGAGACCTGTCCAGGGTGTTCCCCACCTCTAGCAGTGATAGATAGACATGGGCACCAGTGACCACTGTGACCCAAAAAAGGAAGAAGTGGGTAAAGATGATGGATGACTGGCTCATAAAAACATTTTTTGTGTGGCAGAAACAAGAAAAAATGTTCCCCTGTGAACTAAACCACTAAATATATTGGTCCTGATCGTACTGATTGATCTCCAAGCCTCCAGAAATTAGTTCTTCTTAGGAATCCAGCAGCGTATGGTATATTTCTTCTCATGACTGTAATTTCCAAAGTCATATTCCATTTTTCAAGGCACACGTAGGATTTCTGAGTGCTGTGGAAATAAAACGGCACAAAGACATTTACACAGTTTATTCCTTTATTCAGTTACAAAAGCATGAGGACATTGCTCCAGGACACTTTGGTTAGAAAAACTGTTTATTTCTCAAAATCAAAATCATAATAGTTCTAATCTCTTGTACATACAGTATATATATTTCAAACTACGTACCAGATGATTCATCACTGTTTTAACTTATTGACAACCATCCCCAAATAAATTAAAGTAAAGACAAATTAAGAAAAACATGGTGCTAAAATATTGTAAAATAAAAGAAATGAAACAGAACGAAAAAAGAAAAACAAATAATTATTCACTTTTTTTTTTTTAAAGTTTTGAGCATTTAAAAATACCATTAGGAAGTTTTTATTTTTTATTTTAAAACAGCAACATATCAAAATAAATAGAGCTGAAAACTGGTTTTAAACATCGTAATCATCTACGGATTATTTAACATCAGTTTTGTAGTTTTTTTTCATGTGTACTTTCCAAAGTGCCATTTTTCTGGTATTACAACTTTCCTTTACAGTACAAACACAGTGTCCTTTTTTATTTGTTCATTAGTTTTTTCTAGAAATCTTTCGTATTTTATAAAACATATTTAACAAGGTAAAGCCTCTTTTTAGAACGCTGTGCTGCGGAGTATTAACACATCATCTGCAAAAAAAAAAAGACATGTATGAAGGAAGAAAGCAAAAGGTCTTAAAACGGCAGAAAACCTTAACCTGATGCACTGATGCATGACTGAAAAGAGAGAAAATGTTTTCGTGAAGATAAAAATCCATTTTACGTTACATAAACTGGATATGTCTGATTTCAGTAAAGTGTGAATCCGTTTATCAAAAAAAGTCACATTAAATTTGGTGCCATTTTTTTTTTTTTTTGGTCCTTTTTGTATGTAAAGTAAAAATTCAGGAGCACAGAAATACTACACAACCAGTCGTGGAAGCAGGAGATGAGTGCTGCCTTTGTTCAGGTGCTTGTCCTTTACTTTGAAATGAGAGGTCAGTTTCATGTGCGGTTCATAAACTCAGGCTCACCCCCAGTACCCAGCAGCAGTAACAACTTTCCAGTCGCCTTAAAGTGAAATATCACACTTTTAAGCTCATGGAAAACATTTCTGAAATATAAATATGATGTTCAATGAGTTTCGAGACTTTTATTGTTGTGAATTAATATATTTAGGAGCTCAGTTTACTTTACCTGCTTCGTCAGCGTCAGCTCAAGATCTTATTTCATTCAATGTCCAAACACTTGAAGGTATTGTCCTCAGTTGTGTAAGCTTTATACAAAGTAAGTTGATGTAAAGAACTGGTTTAAAAATGTTTAAAAAGTTTTGAGTCGTCCTTTATTTATTCATACTTCTTTTTTTTCCAATGAGCCACTTTCGTCTTTTAACCTTTAAAACTGGTTCAGATCAACTCTTTTCTAGACTTTCTGAAAGTCTGACACTTTTTGTTTTTTTGGAACAATGGCTGTCTGTATTACGACAAAGCTTTAGGGCCACGCTAAGAAAAAAATTAATAAAATCCATAAAATTATGAGATTAAAGTTGTAGTATTATGAAAATAAAGTTGAATAAAGTCTTAATATTATGAGAATAAAGTTGTACAAGACTTTTTTTAACAGCTCTAATTAATAAAAAAAAAATTATTATTTTTTGCACAAGTTGGATCCATGACGTGACCTGTCAATCAATCCAGTAGGCGTGTCAGGAAATGACCAATCCGAAGGTCTACATACTGTGCAACGTAATGATAAGGACAAAATTATCAATGTACAGTTTACCTGCTTACAGTAAGGTGGTACGCTCTGATGGGCTGCAGCATCTGCAGGCGAGGAGCATTTAGCTTCTGATTGGTCGTTTGCTGCCACGCCTAATGGATTGATCGACAGGTTGCATTGTGGATCCAACTCGTGAAAAAAAAAAAAAAAAAGTAAACAAGAGTTGTTAAAAAAAAAGGTCTCATACAACTTTATTCTCGTAATACTATGACTTTATTCTGGTAATTTTATGCCTTTTTTTTGTAGCATGGCCCTAAAGCTCCGTTGTGCTGTCTGGCTCTTGTACTTCTTGGGCAGCATAATGTGCTTAGAAAAGGTGTTTAAAAAAAAAAAAAAAGTGCGGAAAACAGTAAAATGTGTCAGGTTAAAAAAAACACTGAAAGTCAAATATTAGAAAAATCCAGTTAAGCTCTGATTGAGAAATGCATCACCCTTCAGTTGATGATCTATGCGGAGTTTTACAACTTTTATCTTTATGACAGTCCGACAGTAACAAAACAGTTCATTCTTGTTGAATGAACTCTTTAATTTTATGTCTAAACAAATTATAGGTGAAAAGGCTTAAAAACAAAATGAAAAAAAAAAATAAATAAATTGACAGTGAGTTAAAAGCAGCCAGAGTCCAAAAAAAAAAAAAAAAACATTTGAAAGACCTGCAGAAAGTCTGAATAAATATTCATTAGGATATTTTTATTACAAGAAAGTCTGGCTCCTTCATAATACCAAACGTATCTGAAAAAAATGCACAGTACTACAGAGGATGACATGTTCTAATAAATGTTAGGCTTTTCTTGATTTAACCCCTCACAGCTAGACTTTTTGAACACTCGTGTGAAAACCTACTCAAACTGTGACTGTGAGAGGTGGCAGACATGCTGCTTGTCTATCTCAGGACCAACAGAGAGACATACAGCACTAACAAGTAGGCTCACTTATTTCTACAGTGAACAGCATCACAAATATCACCAACTGAGATGTTTTGGATGGTGGATAAAGCATCTGGGCAGGCACAAGTACAACATGCAAACTCCACATAGAAAGACCCCAGACGCTATTCAAGTTGGATACTTTTTGCAGTTAAGAAACAACAATGGCTTGTTAGTTTAGTTAAATCTTTGCAGGTTTTCTTTCATATGTTATTAACTCACTGACAAACCTATATTTGTAACACAAAATGTAAAACTTGTGTTAAAATAACTGATTTTCTTGTGATGTACAGTGTTACCCTGCACTCCTCTCGCCTGAATCTCTAACTTGGGTTTCTCTTTAACATAGCATGAAATCAACACCCCCCAAGATGAAAAGTACAGCGATCACTGTAAACTCAACCTTTAACAAAAAAAAAACCCAAAAAGAAACAGTGAATCTGTCAGTCCCACCAACTGCATCAGTACCAGTCTATTTCCACCAAGAGCAAGCTCTAATAAAATGAGGCCAGCCTTCTTTTTATAGCCCATGCACAATCTGCAGGGGCTTCACCACTAAATAATCTCTACGACAACCCATCACAGGAGTGCTGGAACGATACAGACACAATAAGGAAGAATATAAGGAAGAATTTCTCCAAATTAAGATTAATCTGGTCTTTAAAACGAGTTGCAAGCAGCCTCTCTTGGATTTACTGTGAATTTTTGAGACGTACAAAACAGTGTAAGGTCCCTCTGTCAAGATGGATATTTCCAAATCTGCTCCACCACCTGTTTCTCTGGTCAGAAAACATCTGGATCTGGCGACTGAACAACGTCTCAGAAGCAACAAGTGTACAGTTTACCTGCGTGTGTTGCTGTGGAAGGTCATACGGCAGCAGACAAGGCATGACGTGTTAAATGAAGCATAGCAGCAATGTACAGTATGTTTGTTGTAGCCACGTCAGCTGCTGATTCCCACAACCTTCAGTTGATGATTAATCAACCCCCCTTCTGACAAGGCTCTGCCCTACTGTGGCAGTGTGAAACCGTATCATAAAAAACTGGGGATGCCAAACGGAGCACTTCAAAAATGGAGTGTGTTTGTAAAAGGGTGAGTCAACGCGTGGGGGGGAAATGTTTCAAAAACAAATAATTGAAGCATTCACGAGTGTTCGTCTTCCTCATTTGTGCAAAGACGCGTCCCGTCAGAAAGCATGTAGGTAGCACGGCGTGAGCAGTTGTGGTGAGAGTATTGCACACACAGACGAAAGTCAACAGCTCCATCAAAATGGCACAGCGCAGTCGTCACACTGAAGAATAAAGTTTTGTTTTTTTCTTTTAACACGAAAGAACACTGTAAAAAATTCAAACCCACTTCCCATTGACGGCTTATTTATTGCAACACATATCCCTTCTTTTCTTTTTTCTAAATCTCTTTTTAAACATCCATTTGTTAAAAAAAAAATGGAGTCTCTGTTTTTCAGGAGTGGTTCGATAGTGCATTTTGGCAGTAAATTTAAGTCTTTTTCTTGTTGGGCACACTGTCAGCCAGGAGAGTAGATTAGTCAAACCAGACAGCCATGATTTTTGAGGTTATCAGAGTCTTGTGCTCCTCTTCTGCCAGTCCATCGCTGCCAGCACGGTTCGTTGGTGGTCACATGCCTGAGGCGCCCAGTCCCATGCTGGCGGTGTGGCTCATACAGGGCAGCGTCTGAACCGTCTTGGGGAAGTCATGGGTGAGGATTCGTCCGTTCTCTCCTCCGCTTCCATTGCCACTCATCCTGGTCAAGGTGGAGCAACGCATGGCGTCGTTGATGGATTGCTGAAAGAAAACAGGCTCCAGTTAGCCTGCACACCTGATTTGAGTCACTTAACTGATGAATTATCACTTCAACATGGAAAGCTGATGCAACCATTTAAAGCTTGCAACACATAGACTTTAGGGAGTTAGACAAGAGTAGAATGTTATACAACGTGTTTGGTCTTTAGTACATAAATCACATTACATTCTATACTACTACTTCTTATAATACTATGGTAAATGGACTGAACTTATATAGCACTTTTCTCTTAAGATACTCAAAGCGTTTTATACTACAATCTGTCCTCATTTACCCATTCATACAACACTACTAGATCTATACAAAGACTAATCAGAGCTATGTCACATTCATACACCAATGAGACACACATCAGAGACAGTGAGGGGTTCAGTGTCTTGCCCAGGGACACTTGGGCATGTGACTGCTGGTGGAATCAAACCTCCAACTCTTGCACTGAAGGACATCTGCTCTAACCACTCAGCTACAGCAGCCTATCTGAAAGTGGTGCTTTGGGTTTTCCTTCTAATGCCTATTCAACCTTCATAGATATGTGTTCAAGAGGTATCCCTATAAGATGGGTCTACTCTGAGCTTCTCATTTTATCACTAAGGCTGAACTCCATGGAGGATACTTTTTCCTGTTCCTTGTATCTGAAATCTTGTTCTTTTGGTTATGATCTGACCTCCTGTTCTGGGGGCTTTGCACTCAACTCTGAAACGCTTCAGTGCACACTAAAAGTCGAGGCTTGAAGTCACCAACCGAACTTTGCCATCTGTAAAAGGCAGACTGAACCTTACACTTCCCAAATCAGACGCCATCTTTTCCACAACTGAGCCTTGAGATTTTGCTCACCACAAACTGAGGACACCATTGGACAATACAACCTGTACTGGAACAAGCTTGACTTTGCTGAGAGTTCTGACCCAGCTTTTACTTTAGTTATACAAGGATCATATTTCTCATAAAAACAAATCTGTCAACATATAATCCAGCAGCACCCTTCACAAAATAACTCCATAAATTTAGTCGTTAAGCTTTCTCCAGGTTCACTAAACACATGTGGACTGGGCAATCAAAATCCCATGATCCCTCCTGGCAACTCTGCAAAGTTAAAGACCTGGTCCACAGAGAAAGATTTACAGGTGATACAAGCTGTAGTGCATCAGATGTCGTAATTTGTAAAGGGAGGTGCAGAGTAAAGAGTAGGCAGTGCGACAAAGCTGAGGCCCCACTCATTGGTTTAATAGCTTCATTCTCCAGTCTAGTATAATAAAAGCCACAAGGCTCAAAAGCTGACCTAATGATGCGTGGTGTGCGTGTGTGCATGCTGACATGTGCATCTTTGTCCACATCCCCTGTTCTGCACCTGATTAAATTGGGCGAAGCAAGTACGATCTCGAGCAACTGATAAGTGCTGCATGGGGATTGGAGAATTACAACTGCTCTAATTGGAATGGTGTTGTTGTTTCCTTCAATGCAAACAGCACAAAGGCACTGCTGGACTAATAGGCTCCTCGCCAGTCTCATCAGCATACTGATCAGGTGTCTCTTGGTGGGCTGATTATAATCTAAGAAATTCATGTCGAAGTCTCCTCCTTGTCTCAACTCTGCCATGTTTCTTTGTGTCTGGTTACATGAAGAGCGCATGAGTGTGTCCTGATGGGCTTTGATGTTGGATGAATAAATCAGAGTTTGTTTGCTGTGTATGGATCCACCAAGAAGATGTCTAAAAGCTACAATCTAGCAAATATCAGAGGAGAAACCTCATGTTTTCCAGTGGCAAAATAAAGCAACAACTTCTCAATATTTCACCTTTGAACATACAGCAGGTTGAGTTATTCAGTTTTAGGCTAAAGCAATGATGGAAGACATGCGAATCGCACTACGACTACCTCATGGTACATAGAAACGATGTTCACCACAATGGGCCCTGCGTTTTGCGTGACAGTCAGCAAAAAGAGAAGAAGGAGCAGGGGACAGAGCTGCTCAGAGCGACAGAAGTAGATAGATGTACCACTGTGATTCAAATTGCCTTTATACCTGTACTGAAAGTGACATTTTTGAAAAGAGTGCAAAAGATTATTGTAATGGGTTTGGTAATGGGATTTAACAAGTGCCCTGCTAAGAACATGTTGCCAAATGAAGCAAAGAAATAGAGTCTACTTAACCATTTGATGCAGAAAACAAGACTCTGAATACTGAGATACGTAAAAACATGCACATGTACAGCAAGGTGCAAAAGTCCCGAACTAACCTTCGTTTATCTTTATTGCAATTACAAAATAAGCCAGACTTTTATTATACATGCATGTTTTTTCTGGCCTCAAAAATAGGCTCCATTTATGAATAATATAAAGAAATAAAAAGTGGTTAAAGACTATTGCACTTTACAGTAATTTGTGTGTTTTTCTTAAATGGTGTTGCTATTGTACATAATTTATCATCATCATATGTTATGTATGGATCATTCCATGTCCAGTTCACAAAAATGTACAGCTAGTTTTATTATTATTATTATTATTATTAATAATTTTCTTTATTTTTAACTTTTTCTTTTTACAACTTTACAACCAGGCTCAAACTATGATTCTTTTTCATGATGAGGCATAGATAGAGGAAAGGATTATTTGATGGAAAGTGCCTTTCTTAAAATATGGAAAGTGCATTATTATATTGTTGTTATTATTAGTAGTAGTCGTAGTAGCATTATTGGCATTTATTATAATTATTGGATAATTTCTCATTCAACCTTTATTTAAACAGGTTAGTCCCATTGAGCCACAAGGACTCATTTACAAGAGAGACCTGAATTATCTAAATGAATCATAAAAGGAATAGGTGTGAATTTATAATTATATAAATCTCCATCCATCCATCCATCCATCCATCCATCCATCCATCCATCCATCCATCCAGCCAGCCAGCCAGCCAGCCAGCCAGCCAGCCAGCCA